AGCGCTGCCGCGCTTCCCAAGCGGCGCACTATCCAGTGCGCCACCGGGCCGGCCCTATCCCCCTTCTTCTAATGCTAGTTTTGGGCCAAGCCTCTTCTCTGTCCTTCCTCTACTCCTCCACCAGGGCAGCCCTCAATTTCCCAGGGCTTTAGAAAACTTCCCCAAAGTGGTGGTGGTGGTGGGGATAGGAAGACTAGAAACTTCTCCATTTTCCAAGACCTTTATTTCCTGAGATAAATAAGTCAATGGCTGAGGGGGTATGGGGTGAATACAGATCAGGAGCTGGCAGCATGCAGCTAGCAGGAGGGGGGCTGTGATGGCCCCACCCCTGTGGGGAACCCCTCATCCTGGGCAGGGGCCAAAGCTCACTAGCAGCCACCATAAAGAGAAACTTTTCTTTTACAATTCACACACATTGTGAAGCCTGCCCAGTGCCCCCAGGCGAAGATCTCATGGCATCCACCTACTGGGCTACTTTTTCACCTAAGGCCATGTCTGCTGGGCCTGGGTGACTGGGCTGCTCTGTAAGGCAGGTAGGGGGTGCTTTTCCCACTCTCAAAAATAAACCAAGCTGCCCTGAGTGTCCAGCAGGGGGGAGGCCTGACCTGTGAGGGCAGTAGGTGGCAGCAGGGATTATCTGCCCTTGATGAAGCCCTCCAGCACACGGTCACTGCGCTCTGACAGCCAGTAACCAGTCATGGCGGCCACAGCCCCAATGAAGATGGCAGTGAACACCAAGTCGCCCTTAGCAGCCAGCGTGGCCAGTGCACAGATGATGACACCAAAGAACATCTGCTGCAGCACCACCAGCTCGTCCTCTGTCATCTCCGAGAAGAAGCCCGCCGACTCTGTGGACGAGCAACAGATGCAGCCTGTCACTCCTAGCCCAGTTCCTGGTGCCTCCCCAGGACTCCCACACACCTGTTTATCACTACTGGCACGCCTGCCCAGCACGCCAGGCACATAACATCATTTACTCTCAGAACAACTCCGCAAGGACTAGTTATCCCTGTGTCACTGAATGGCAAACTGAGGCTCAGGAAAGTTAAGGGGTTTGCCCAAAGCCATGCTGTGGGCAAGTCATGGGCAGAGCAAATTATACGCCCAGCTCCAGAGCCAGACGGGCTGGACTCAAATCCAGCTCTGCAACCTACTTGCCATGTAGCCCTGGGCAAGTGACTTCACCTCTCTCTCTGCATCTTAGCTTCTACCTATGTAAAATGGGGATGAGAATAATACCTCCGGCGTTGGATTGTCTCAGGTTAAATAAGTGAGCTCGTGTAATGTGCTTGGAAAAGCATCTAACAGTAAGAGCTGCAGAAATCGTCCCTTATCATCATCGCTAGGATTACCTTTCACCTCACCACACTCAGGGCCTACGACAGCTATCAGCAGGCCAGGGCAAGGACTGGTCCCATTAGATGAGGAAACAGGCTTAGGGAGGCAGAGTGATTTGATGTCAAGTCCGACTCTCTTTCTACTGTGGGAGGAGTGAGGCCACCAAATGCCAACCTGGAGATCAGACTTACGGTCCAGGTCTCAGTGCATCCTCCTGAAGTCTGGGTGGCAGTGCAGGTGGGGGAAAGCCTGTAGCTACTTGGAGAAGGGGCTTACCTGCCCTCCCCCAGATGAGGACCTCCCCCACCCCTCCCCAGGGCTCACCTGGGATCTGCTCCTTCACACAGATGCCCTCCACCTGTTTGTAGCCCTTGGTACAGACGCAGCGATAACCACCCTCGGTGTTCTCACACTGCTCGTTCTCTCCTGGACACACCTCTGTCTCACACTCGTCCACATCTTGAGAGAGGGTGGGGAGGGGTCAGGGTCCTGACTGCCAGGGTCCCCCACACAGCACCTGACTCTGTCTCACTCACATCCTGACACTCCCCTCTGCTGCTACCCAGGTGACATTCCACCCCTCCATCCCCTGCACTGGCCATACTGCAGCTCCCTCTTAAAGCATGGTGGGCAAGGCGCTCCCAGGTGCCTTTGCCCCATGGTGGGAGACTCACCGAGACACTTGGAGCCCACCTGCTGGTAGCCAGGGCTACACTTCTTGCAGCGGCCTGGACCTGCTCCCATGCAGCCCAGGCAGGCCTTAGCACAGTCTGAAGAAGGGACAGGAGAGAAGAGGATGAGAGCTGCCCCTAAGCCTGGGGGAGCCATGCTCCGAAAGAGGAGGACTGGGTGGGGTTCTGGAGCCTGAGAAGGCGGAAGTGTGGAGGGACAGGCACGGAGTGGCTCCTCTTCCCTCCTGGCCACTCCTCTGCAGAAGCGGACACTGACCTCGGCACTCATAGGAGCCCTCTGTGTTCACGCAGAACTGGTCAGCTCCACAGTTGGCTCGCTCTGTGCCACACTCGTCGATGTCTGCAGAAGCAGGCAGGGTGGGAATTTCAATCCGTATTTATTTTTTTTTTAAAAGATGACCGGTAAGGGGATCTTAACCCTTGACTTGGTGTTGTCAGCACCACGCTCAGCCAGTGAGTGAACCGGCCATCCCTATATGGGATCCGAACCTGGGGCCTTGGTGTTATCAGCACCGCACTCTCCTGAGTGAGCCACGGGCCGGCCCTCAATCCATATTTAATTAACAGGGACGCTGAGGCCAGGGTTGTTGGGGAATGGACTTGCCCAGGATTAAATGGTGTGGCAGAGACTGCAAGCTGTCCACCAACACTGAAGTAGAGGAGCGGCTGGACTCCAGCCAGAGACTACCTTTTCCAACCTGCCTTGCAGTGAAGTGTGGCCTGTGATTGAATTCTGGCCAACAGGATGTAAACAGAAAGACTGTGCTCCCCTGTAGCTTAGCCTTAAAACAATGGGCGTGGCTCCTCCGTGTACTTTCTTCCCCTTCTCACTTCCTGAGTGCTGGAACGTGGAGGTGCCTGTGACTTGGCATCCAGCATGCAGACAACACCAAAGGGGATGAATGTGCAGTAATATAGAAGGAATCTGGGTCCTTGAATGACTGTGACAAGCAGAACTTCCCTGCCAGCCTGGACCACTCACTTTGGGACTGCGATATGAGAGAAAAATAAACCCCTGCATTCTCTAAGTGGTAGTCTTTTGGGGATCTTTTTGTGACAGCAGTTCAGCTTTGACCCTGGTCTATATAAGTGGCTAGGAAGGGACCAAAGTCTTGAACCCAGGTTTCCTGACCCCAAGTTTAGTATCATCTCCCTGGCTTAACCCTTCCTCAACTTTCAAGACGTTGGGCTGGCTGGCTAGCTCAGGTGATTAGAGTGCAGTGTTATAACACCAAGGTCAAGGGTTCAGATTCCCACACTGGCCAGCCACCAAAAAAAACATTTTTCACGACTTGGCCGAAGTGACGACACCCCCAAGAAGCCTTTCCTGATTCCCTCCACCACCTCCACTGAGCTGTATCGGGGCCATCTCTCACCAGACACAGGTCAGTCTGTACTCTAAGTAGCTGTTACTCTTCTGCCTTCCCAGCCAGGCTGAGATGTCTGTGAAGATGGGGACTGTGCTGGTCGAGCCCGGGCATGTGTGAATTAAGGGAAAGAGGAACCAAGCCTGGGCTCTTCCCATCCTCCCCAGACCCAGGCAGAGCCCCACTCACCCACACACTTGAGGTGATGCAGGGCCCAGCCCTTCTTGCATTGCAAACAGTTTGATTCCTCAGGTCCTGAGCAGCGGGCACAGGGGCCAAAGCAAGCTAGGTGGAATGGGGGCAGTATGAGAATGGGCAGGCGGGTGCCCCATCTGTCCCTGCCCAGCACCACACCTTTTGGCTACCTACCCGAACATACCAGATGGCTGGTGTTGCGCTCTGCCTCAAAGTAGCCGAGACCGCACTGGCCACAGGCCTCACCCCCATAGCCGGCTTGGCAGTCACAGTGCCCGCTGCCACCTCGTGTCCCTTCCCCTTCACACTGCCCGTAGCCACTGCAGGGCCTCTCTGTGCCCCCAGGACAGGCTGTAGGCAGACACCAAACCGGTGAGATGTTATATACAACCCTGATATATAAGAGAATACATATTCTGCATATTATTAAAGTTTTTGGAGAGGAAAATTAATTTTAATGACAACATAATATTTTGTCATAAAACTGCAAGAAATTTATTTAATCACCAGCCTATTACACAATT